AGAGCCTGGGGGGAGGAGGCAGGGCTGGGGATTTGGGGAAGGGGCGGAGTTGAGGCGGGGCCGGGGGTGGGGTAATTAAAGAACGGGGGTGGGGGGCGGCCAAAATTGTTTTTGCTTTGGGCGGCAAAAATCCTAGAGCCGGCCCTGGTGCCCAATGGCAAGCTATGACAGAATCCCATGTGAAAAGTCAGTTTATAAACAGTTTAAAAGGGGAACATCATAACTTGCTTCATAACCCAACCCCTCACTGGGTTTCAGAGCCCAGGCTCCAGCTCAGGTGGGAACATCTACACTGCGGTTTTTAGCCCTGTACCATGAGCCTCGCAAGCCCAAGTCAGTTGTGGGCTCTCAGATTCACTGCTGCGGAGGGTTTTTGTTTGTTTGTTTTGCAATGTAGCTGTAGGTGCCTGGAGACACTGATGGCTGAAAAATCACAATGATGTTGCACCCCGGATCTGAAATAAGTCTGATCTATGGAGAACCCTCAGTGCTGAAAAGAAACACAATGTTATGCAGGGATTAAACTGGTGACTATTAATCATCAGCCCCTGCAAGTAACAGGAGAAATCCAGCTTCCATACTAAATAGTCTTTTGTTGCATTGACCAATATTTTTAGTGCTGTGAAGCCCCAGACAGTAAAAGTGCTAGGGGTTGACTTTGAAAGGAAGCAATTAGAACAACTGCTCTTAGGATATGCTAGTGTGTTCTCCAGGAATAGTGAAGACCTTGGGAGATATGCCTGATCACAATACTGAATCGTGCTTAAGCCAGAGAGTGTTCATGTGAGGCAGTCCCCACACTGGGTTCATGTCACAGTGAACAAGAAGTTAAATTGCATGCTGGAAGATAGCCTGACTGAGCAGTCTATATCACTTTAGGCACTCCCAACTGTAACTGTAAAAAAAACCCATGGAGTCTAGAGGACATGCATTGACTACAGGAGACTAAAGGTATGTCTACACTTTGATACCAAGTCTCAGAGCCCAGGTCAGCTGATTTGGGCTCACAGAGCTCAGGCAGTGGGGTTATAAAATTGCAGTATAGATGTTTGGGCTCGGGCTGGAGCCTGGACTCCAAAAACCTTCCTGCCTTTTAGGGTCTCAGAGCTTGGGTTCCAGCCCAAGCCCACATATATAAACTGCAATTTTATAGCCCCGCAGCCCTAGACCTGTAAGCCCAAATCAGCTGACCTGGGCCATTCATAGCCATGACACGAGTCTTTCATTGCAGTGTAGGCATACCCTTAATTTACAGACCGTTAAAGATAGCTACACACTTAGCAGACACCATGGATAAAATGTCAGGAGCAAAATATTTTTCTAGTTTTGGTTTTGTATTCAGATACCCTCAGATTAAAGAAAAACTGCCTTTTTGACACCCTTTCTGTTGTTTCAACTCTGAGATTCTTTTTGGACTCATGAATGCCCTAGGGATGGTTCAGAGGGTAGTGAATGATCTAACCCATGTTTTGAGAACTGAAGATATCCTCATGTACTCGGATGACTTCATTTGTTTCCATAGACATGGGTGGAACATCTGGTAGGAGTGGAAAGGATTCTAAAGCTTTTCAAAAAGTCAGGGTTTAAATTTGCAGGAAACAAATGTCAGTTTGCAAGGAGTTGC